CCTGTGACAGTCCACAGCAGTGGCCAAAATAAATGCTCATTATTAAAATTCTGGAATCCTCTCCATTAATTTACACAGTGGTCCTCTGGGATGTTAGGGCTAAGCAGCAAATCGGGTGAGAGGCTTGCAGACTCTAATTACAGCCTGCTTGTGCTGTCTGCACTCTGGAAATCCATTACTGCGTGTAAGATAGAAGAGACAAGGGGCTCACTTTGGAGAAACTGAGCTGTTCAGTACTAAAAGGAAATTATTCAGCATTTTCTTCCTGTAGAGTAACAACAAAAAAAGTATCCGAGAGGGTGTTAAAGATGACAATAAATAAGAAAATGTTGGCACCTAGCCCCAGATTTTCATAACCTATGCATATCTGCAGTCCCAGTTTGCACTGCAATGGTTGTGTAGGCATTTGTGTTTGATTGCACATGCAAAAAACTGAGTATCTAACTGGGCATTTTTGCATTCCAGTGCTGTGATTGTCCAGAGTATCCTGGTGACATAGTGGGCAGTTCTGAAAAATCTGTGCCTCCAGATTTTAGACAAAGGGGTAGATTGTGCCTTTAGGCACAGCTCCGGGCAGTGCATAAACTATACAACTTCAGGAGTAGTCCCAAAGGAGGGCCTGTGACTCAGAGACATGTTGAGTCATAATTCCTCCCCTGACGCTGCCTTGTTGGGGGAGAGAGGAGGGAGAGTGATTTACTGCTCACTTGTAACAGTAGTAAACTGCTACATAGTCCTTGCATTGGCTCAGCTACTCTGTCCAGCGAGTGGGGTGGATGGAGCCCAGTCTCCAGCCATTTGAACACTCTCTCCACTGCAGGGAGGGAGTAAGTGGGTGAGTGGCCCCACTTATGCCTGTGCACCCAGATCCAGCAAGTCCTTAGAATGGATGTAAGGGGGATTCTTTCTCCCCTCTTTGAGAGGCTGTTTGAGTCAGGGCCTCGCCTGGGTAATAATTCAGTAGTAGTAGTAATAGTAGTAGTACTAGTAGTAGCAGTTAGATTACACCAACTCCAGTAATTCCATCTGGGCTACAAATCCCCCTGCACTTTCAACTGGATTGAGTATTCTTCACTTTCTGCTCTCCAGTGTGTAGTGATGCTGCTACACACTGTTAAACAGCAGCCATATTCCACCCAGAGGTGGGTGCATTTCAGAAGTGGGTGCCCCTTATCTACCTCATAGGGGTGCTGACTTAATTACTTGTTGTTGGATAAGTGCTTTGAGATCATTGGATGAAAGGCACTATAGAAGAGCCACATACTAGGCCAAATTCATCCTGATGGCAGCCGGTGGAGTTACACTGGGATGAATATGGCATGTGGTTGTTATTATTACTTAGGGTATTACTTCAAGCTGGAAGGTGTAAAGTCCAGCAGGAGGAGACATACCTACTTTAGATCTTATCCATCTCGTGCACCAAAAATAGAAGGGTACCAGCAGCAACGTAAATAGTGGGAGGGGCTAGCTGTCCTGAGTACACACCTAGCATCTTGGATGGGCACATACTCAGGGCAGTGCATACCACTCTGGCTATGCTCAAGCACAAGTATGTCTCCTGGAGTTGGAATTAGCCTCTGCTTATGGGAGGAAACGGATTAGACATCCAAGTGCAACTGTCACGCCAGTTCTCATTAGCCACGTGGCGTGGAATACAAAGAGAAAACGAAGAGCATAAGCGGTGCAAAGTGCATTAAATAAAACACAAAAATCCTCACAATCCTCTTCCATTTTCCTTCATTCTTTGCTTCCATTTGGACCAGAAGCAGAAGAGAGAGGCTGCTCTTGCAGAATTTCCAGGCATCAGGAAAAATAAGAAGTCTTATGAGAAGCAGGTTTCAGAGTAGCAGCCGTGTTAGTCTGTATCCACAAAAAGAACAGGAGCACTTGTGGCACCTTAGAGACTAACAAATTTATTAGAGCATAAGCAAAAATTTGTTAGTCTCTAAGGTGCCACAAGTACTCCTGTTCTTTTTATGAGAAGCAGTTTTCATTAGATTTCTACCCCAGTTCTGTAGACCCAAAGTGTATGTATAAGCTTCTGGGAAACCTTCCAACAGAATCTCACCTTTGGAGATTCTCCCTCCCCCCACAGCACAAACACTCAGCTAGTGGCTGAAGTTTTGGGTGCTGGCTCAGTGTTTTGGATGCACAATTCCCATAATTCATATTAATCAAATTCTCAGAGAGCTATTAGGAGTTTTTACACTCCATCAAAATTTTTAAAGCAAATCACCTGACTAAAAACCCAATGCAATGTACGAAAATGTTAGCAGCAGGGCTCAAAGTCTTTAAAAAAAAAAAGCCGCTTCCAAATTTTTTGGGGGGTCAATGAAAAAATATTCCTGGCTAGATTGAGCCCCTAATTTGTGCACTAGTACTAAAAATGCATGTGCAAAACCCCTGCATTGACCATTTGGACATGCAATAGCTTGCCTGGCATGTGTACACATGGTAATTGGGCGCACAATTGGATACCTATAGTTTTTTAATCCTACTAATTTAATTCTACTAATATAAAAACTTTTTTTATTGTCACATGCTCTAAATATGCTTTAGTGCATTCAAGTAAATGCCCTACAGCATGTGTAGAGTATATATTACAGTAAATGGATCTCTAAGATAAATTGCTCTTAGTAGGTAGGTTTTATTTTCCTGTGTGGCCCATTAAGAGGTGGCTCAGAAGCATGCAAGCAGTACAACTAATAAAGATATTAAGGTGGGTAGATTTATGTAGGCATCGTACACAACGTATGGTCCAATCATGAAGGTTCCAAGAAGAAATTTATTTCTGTTTCTGCAAAATTTAATTTCAGTCCAACAGTTTACATTTCACACACAAAACTTGGGATGCCATTTTATCAATGTGCAGTAGTACGCGGAGTACAGTAGCAGACAGTGAGCTAAATTGGTGTTAATGGACACCCACGTACTGTTGTGAGAAATGTCCCAGGCTGATGCAGGTACAGTACATAGAATGCAGTGGCAGAGCAGTGTATATATAATCTGTTTTAGACGGAGATGTAAAAAATATGTGTAACACAATCAAAGTCACATTGCACCTCATAGAGACTAAATATGCAATGACCCCAAAGCCCTCAGCAGTCTCAAAAGTAACTGCCAGGCACTTCACAGGACATAGTTTTACTATATTTCTTTGAACAGCCCTTAAATGAAAAAGTTATTCAGAGTATATGACTTACCTAATATTGTTAGCCTTGAGTTGCTAAGAGACTTTGGACTATGCTACTGATAATGCTAGAAAGCAACAGAAAGAGAGAAAGCAGATTGAATTACTGTGGGCCAAATTCTGCTCTCAGTTATATCCGGGTAATTCCATGTAACTCACTGGAAGTGCACGAGTGTAATAGGCAGCAGAAAGAAGTTCTGTGTTTCAGTGGCCATCATTATGGAGGTGGTGGATGTATTGCTAATTAGAGCATATACAGTAAATCCTCAATCCATTATAGTTGGATAACCCAGACAGTGAATGTCTATGGGCGTTGTTAGAAGTTTGGAGTAAAGCCATACTGAAGGTGCATATCTAGCTATAGGTCATTTTTATTACTAGCTAAAGTAGATGGATTGATAGATAGCTATCATGTAAATTTAGGCTTCATGTTGTACATATCAGAAACCCCTATGAAACAGGAAGAGGACACAAATAGCACAAAGAAATCAGACACCTTGTAACTGTCTTCCCAACTATGGTTCTTAAAAAGCTTCGGTAGAATAAAATAAAACAAATGGATGAGTCGTCTTCTAATAATAATAACAATGTTCCCTCTTTCCCTTCACCTGGGGTAATATCTTTTTTCCTGTTTAAAAAAAATGCAGTAACAATTTGTCCCTATAAACTACTCCTAGAGAAAGGTGGGGCTTTGCTTTTCAGAGGTGCTGAGCACTCACGCCACCAGGTGATTTCAGTGAGAGCGTTGGGTGCTCGGTGTCTCTGAAAATCAAAGCCCCGCGTGTCTCAATTTGGGCACTTAAAACCAGTGACACACAAATTTAGGTGAAAAATTAGGACTTATATTTCAATAAATAATAGCTTTTTACTAGAAACTAATCCTCCAGTCAGTAACATGCATGTTACTAAGGAAGATGAATATTTGCATGGGCTTATGGTTAAAACAAACAATGAAGATTCAACCGGGTTCTGCTGAGCCGCTGACTCACAGTATGACTCTGGTCAAATCAGTATGACTCCTTGTACCCTCAGTCAATCCTGCTGGCTGAAGTCAGAGCCTGGCTGAAAAGCAGACGTTTCATCTGTATTGAACATTCCTAATACACCTCTACCTCGATATAACGCTGTCCTCGGGATCCAAAAAATCTTACTGTGTTATAGGTGAAACCGCGTTATATCGAACGTGCTTTGATCCACCGGAGTGCGCAGCCCCGGCCCCCCGGAGCACTGCTTTACTGCATTATATCCGCATTCATGTTATATCGGGTAGCGTTATATCAGGGTAGAGGTGTATTTACATATAAAGCATCAGCTGGGCCTCAATTCAGCAAAGCACTTAACCATGTGCTTAACTTTAAGCATGTGCATAAATCTTTTTCTGTTCAGGAAAGTACTCAAGTACATGCTTACATTTAAATCCCATTGACTTCAGTTGGAACTAAGCATGTGCTTAAGTGCTCTGCTAAATTAGGGTAGGTCTACACTTACCTCCGGGTCCAGCGGTAAGCAATCAATCTTCTGGGATCGATCCCGGAAGTGCTCGCCGTCGACGCCGGTACTCCAGCTCGGCGAGAGGAGTACGCGGCATTGACGGGGGAGCCTGCCTGACGCATCTGGACCCGCGGTAAGTTCGAACTAAGGTACTTCGAATTCAGCTACGTTATTAACGTAGCTGAATTTGCGTACCTTAGTTCGAAATGGGGGGTTAGTGTGGACCAGGCCTTAGAGCCTTAATGACTGATTCGACTTTATTTAAGTTAGGTTTCTGATAATATTTTCCAACAAGTTAATAGTGTAATATTACTTTTAGATGGTCAGCAGATCTGGGAGATGGAGGCAACAGTGGATAAAGATAAGAGCCAACCTGTAAGTATGCAACATAATGTATGTCCTTTACTCCTTGCTTTTCAGCTATATGCTGAGAACATCTTCTGCAAGGTGCTGGTCCCCTCCAACTTCCGTTGACTTCAGTGGGAGTCCAGGCTGCTCAGAGCTTTGCAGGCTGGGACCCTTTGTTTGCGTTGCTTTATTTACATTTAGGGCCTGATTCAGCAAGGTGCTGAGCAGCCTTGACTCCTATGGCGGTCAGTGGAAAACTTACAGTATACCATCAGCGTCATCTAGGTTCCAGCCCTTATAGTGCAATGGGCCTTATCTGCTCC